CTGTGGAACGCTCACCTCCACACAGCAGGAAAGAGTTTTGTGCCATAGATATTTTAGGTGAGCTCTCTAACCCCAGGGCCCACAGTCCCTAAAGTAAGCTGTGATTCAACTGAGACATGTCAGGAGAGCCAATATCCCTCTCTGCGTGCTCATGGGTCCACATGGACTCCACATGGCTTTCACGGGATGCTCTTCAGTGGGAGCTTCCTCATGGACCAGATGCCTGGCTGCCTAGACGGGCACTCTCTAGTCTAGACACTTGTGTAGATGCCAAGAGGATTGGGTTCGCATAGACAGCTCTGACTGAAAGTCAGACCAGCAGCTGCCAGGCAGCTGGCATAGAACTAGCCACTAACTTTCTCTCTCCCCCTCTCCTCTCTCTCTCCCACTGAGGCGTTTTATTTGTATATATGGTTAGTATGTATTGTATCCTAGAAAAGGAATCCCCTGGACTGTTTTGTTTTGCCTCCTCTTGACCCACGGTATTAGCAGAGGCCATCAATACACAGAAGGCTCTCTGATGGAATGAGAATAATCAGCTTTTATTCTAGATCTTGGAGTTGCAAATCCAGTCTGGGATGATCACTCCACACTTGTATAATCCGCCTGTGAGGAAAAAGTCAACAGTGAATTCAACTACTCCATGCTTAACTGTCACAGCTAGAAAATGGATGGTAACTTTGGAGCATGGCTGAGTAAAAACTTGGCATTCGCTCTTTGCTGCATTGTTGGTGCTCTCGAGAGCATGTACAGGGCACACATACCATTATTTATGGCAGCAATGAAAGGTAGGGGAAATATTTGAGATGATGAATAACAGCAAGAGGAAGTCTCTCTCTCTCTCTCTCTCTCTCTCTCTCTCTCTCTCTCTCTGTGTGTGTGTGTGTGTGTGTGTGTGTGTGTGTGTGTGTATGTGTGTGTGTGTGTGTGTGCGCGCGCACCAGACACGGTTTTGGTTCAGTAGAAACACCCACTGTAGGTGTGAGGTGAATCAGGCAAGCATTGTTCCTTTCTTTATAGATCAAGAACTTACGGTTCAAAGAGATGCCTGGCCATCTAGGGTGGCACCCCTAGTGTGGTAGAGCTGGTGGAAGGGCTGAGACCAACGTGTAAACCTCACCCTAAGATGGCAGTGGGGCAGGTGTTACACAGAGGCCTGGAACTTTCCATCCAGGACTGTGAGGCATATGGGTCCTGTCCTTGGAAGATCCAGTTTCAAAGCAGGCAGAAAGGATCTCAAGAAGGCTATGTATGTATGAGTGGGGTACCATGGGGACTCGGACCACAGGAGCCCAGCCTGGGCAGCTCAACCAACGGTAATGCAGGTGAAGCCGTGGAAGGATGGTGTTGGGGACACCGCGATGCTGGCTCTAGAGACAGGCAGGACACAAGTTAGCTTTGTTCTGTTTAGTAGTAAAGTGTAGCTCTGATGAGGTCACCAGGGCAGGTAACTGGCCTTTCAAGATGCTGGCTGGCCTGGAGGTATAAAAATTCAGTTTTCCGGCCAACATATCCAGAAGAGAGCTAATACTTGCTGTTGGCAGTGGAGTCGGGGATCTGAGACGTTCTCTCAGGTTCCAGGTCAGCGAGCCCTAGACTAACTTGAGTGTAGCAAACAGCAGGCAGAGGCCAGTGTCTACCACAAAGTTGTTCCTGTGAGGGGCTGGACCTCTGCAGTTAGTTTCATGGGGACGGTCCAGAAGGGCAAACTGGCCTGCATCAAATCTTTCTAAAGCCTATGAACCAATGCACTTCATTGCCATTTTTTTTTCATATTACAAAAGTAAAACACGTTTAACGTAAAAGCTTTGTTTTCAAATCCCCAAGGCAAAAGGGCCTTCCACTCTTTTTTCTTTCTCTCTTTCCCTTTTCTCGAGACAAGGCTTCTCTGTGTAGCCCTGGCTGTCCTGGAACTCACTCTGCAGACCAGGCTGGACTCAATCTCACAGAGATCCACCTGCCTCTGTCTTCAGAGTGTTGGGATTAAGAGTGCACCACCACTGCCTGGCGGGTCTTTCAGTCTTGACTCCCTCTGCCTACATACCAAAGATCATGAAGAAGAGATGGAGTCTTAACACACTGCTACATCCTCACTCTTACTAACTCGACCACAGTCTCTCTGGGCGATTGCGTTTCTTGCTCTGACTCTCCAGTCAGATGGAACTGAGAGCAAAGGAGGTGATAGAACCAAACAATGGACTCCTTCAAGGTTGGCGGCCTAGTATTCAAACTGAAAGGTAGTCATTCATCAAACCGCAGCCTGGGTTTTAGTCAGGTCCTTCTTGATTTCAAGCGGCTGAAACCCAGCAGAGGCTAGCTGAGACCAAGCAGGAAATGTGTTAGTTTATGCGGAGTGGAGGTGGAAGGAGGGAGGGAGGGAGGGAGGGAGGGAGGGAGGGAGGAAGGGAGGGATGAAGGAAAAAAGGAAGGAAGGAAGGAAGGAAGGAAGGAAGGAAGGAAGGAGACAGTCAACAAAGGCCATTGGGCCATCCCAATAGCAGGACTGAATGATGCTGATGCTGGCAGGATTCTGCTCTGACACCTCACCTCTCCTCTTACTTATAGGTACCAGCTCTACCTCAGGGAGGCTTCCCTAGCTGGTGTCAGGGACTCTAAACTTGCTTCTCTGCCGACTTTGCTGCTCCAGCTGTCAGCTCCATTCTTGCAGCAAAATTCTGAGCTTTGGCTCTCACTGGTTATGCTACCACACCCTTCCGCGAACCAACAATAACCCAGGGGATGCAATACTCTTATTAGTCAGGACAGACCAAATGCCTGCCCTGGATTGGTAGAGTTGTGCCGACCCTATTTAAACCATGTTTAGGGAGGTGGCTCTTCAGATTAAAATTGTGCAGTTATCAGAAGGAAGATCACAAGACTAGCAGGACTCACGCAAACAGGACGTAGTCATGACACAAAGTCAGGCTGTGATGTAGATATAAAGTTTGTACAGTCACTCACAGCCCAGATGCTCCATTGCTTTGAAATGCTGAATTATTTTTCTGTCCTCTCTTACTTTAGCCAGGCGGTGGCTGCAGCTGAACTCACGCTGAAAGACGCTGTCTTTATGTCAGTGATTGACTTGAATTCTCCAGCTCCCTGTGTCGCTGGTTCCCTCATGGCGTGGCATCTGGTTCAGGAATAGGGCAGAACCTAGACTCTCGCAGTTTCTTGAGGCTTGGAGTAGGGAACCTGTGGGTCTCTTATAAAGGGTCTGCTGGCCAAGCAGCTTCTTCTACCAGAGTCAAGGGGAATGGACAGAGGAGCTTTGCCTCCTGGGCATTTCAGGGCTGGAAGCTGCTTTCACGCCCTGGAATACTGTCTTTGAGTGTGAAGTGTTTGTGTGAAATTTCTCACTTAATTCTCACCATGGCTCTTGAGACTACTTTACAAATAAGGGACCAGGCTCAGAGGAAGCCGAGACTCAGAGCAGGCAAGTGACTTGTTCAGAGACACACAGCACTCCTGCTACAGAGTCTGCGTTTTGTTCTCCACTGCTCTCTGTCGTGTTCCACACACTTGAGAGAAGAGATCTTCAAGGGGCTGGGCTCTTGAGAAGTTGGTGACAGCAAGCCATTCTCAGTTAGCACTGACGTGAATCTGGAATATGCCCATGGCACTTGGATTGTACCCGACACCCTGCACACAAGGGTCCCTTTCTATGGTTTTGGCTGTTGAGGTCAGATACAATCCAAACACTGTTCGTGGACAATGCCAAAACTGCACTTTCCTGATAGGCATTTAGTAGCCATCTGAGTTATGGGCTGTCACAGCAAGATCAGCAGATTGCTTTATTTTACTATTAGTTAATCTATTAGAGCACCTGATTTATAAATCAAACACACCGTAAGTATCTTCGCATAGATGTGTGTGTATGCACTCGAGTGTGTGTGTGTGTTGGCTTTGAGACAACCTGTGAGCCAGGCTAGCCTTGAACTCTGTAGCCAGGGTTGACCTTGAATTTCTGATCCTCCTGTCTCTTTGAGTGTGGAACTGCAGGCATTGAACTGCTGCTCGCGGTTCTATGCCAGGGCTGGGACTTAAAGTCAAGGTTGTGTGTGTGTGTGCGTGTGTCTAGTCCCAAGCTCTGAATACAAGGTCACTGATCAGTCCTAGCATAAAAAATAGTTTCATATGGGGACAGAGGACGGGGTGGATACCAGGGAATAGAACTAGAAGGCAAAAATAGCATCCTAGTGTTGACTTGGCACACTGACTTATACCGAAACTCCCAGTGTCTTGTCCGCAGCACATGTACTGTCTCAGCATAGCCTCTCTTCCCCAGCACACAGCGAAGCCAGCAAGAGCAAGCTTCTTAGAAACTGTAAGGGAAGCCGACAGAACTCTGCAAAATCTACTCCTGCCTGTCTTCACGTGAACGCAGGTTGCTGGATGCTGGCTCATGTCTGAGCTGCGGTTTTCTCCTTATGTTGAAACTTAGTTACTTGAAAATAATGCTTTTGAATGGCCTCTTGTTCACATCTCTACTGGACTCCAAGTCGTGGCCTGACAATTAGCTAAGACTGGCCACTTGCAAAGCAAGGTTTCCAGGGAGGTCAGAAAAAAAAAATCTTCCAAAACTATACTTGTCCAAGGGCCTCTGACTCTGAGAGCCCATGGGTTGGCATGAGATCAGCAGAGAAATCACAACCCAAACAAGCAGATTTCCCAAGCTGCTGATAGCATCGGCATTCCTAAAGACCGTGCGTGCGTGCGTGCGTGCGGTGTGTGTGTGTGTGTGTGTTCTTAAGAATAGACAGGTGCATTGACCCTTGCCGTCCCAGCCTCCACTGCCTCCCCAGAGGTGGCCTTGGGCTCTGGACCTCCTGACTGAGTGACTCACACCGACTCTAGCACTTGTAACCTAGAAAAAGAAACAGGAAGTGGCTTAGAGAGGCAGAGAACAGCCCGGGGAAGGGGCCTGGTGGCACTGGCCTCGGATGACATGGTAAACACAGGCAGCAGTGTGATGTGGCCTCTCTCTTCCCTGCCATTACCGGGACGCCTTTGCTGGGGCTTGACCACCTCTGTGAAGCCCACAGGTGGTGAATGAAGTGGGTGTAGTGTATGATCATGTCATTAGGGGTCACTGCTACCGAGTCAGTGACCTCTTTCCATGTGCGGTCCTGTGGAATGGTAGGCCCTTCTCTGCAGTGGCCTTGGGTCCTTAAATTTTATCAGGCCTTGTGGACAGAAGTCCTCAACTTGATGAGAAGGTAATTGCCTGTAATCCCGGTGCTTGGGAGGTAGAGACGGGAGGATAGAGTCTCAAGTCATCTTTGACTATGTAATGAATTCCAGGCCAGCCTGGATTACACAAGATCCTGTTTCAACAAACAAATAAACAGAGCGAAAGTCTTTGAGTACTCTACTACTTCTTCCGGAAAGAACAAGCAGGTATTTTGGGAGAGTGTGATGTGCCGGGGGGGTGGGGGGGGGGATGGGGGGGTGGGGGGGTGTCTGAAGGTCAGAGAAGGGTTTCCTCCACACGCTGAGAAACAAAAGTCCCGTCACCCTAGGTCCCCAGAGAAGTGCCCCAGTGGTGTGGTTAGCACTGTCCTTGGTGTGGTCCTGGGGGAGAAGAGAGCAGAGGGCGGGCCTCACAGCACTGAGCCAGGCATCCACTCCTGGTTCCTCCAGGACTGACAGCTGAGTTACTAGAGACTAAGCCATCTTCACTCCTACCTCAGAGCCTCCAGCTAGTGTTCCCAGCTCCCCAGCCTCTCACTGCTACCTTCCCACAGGCCTGCCTCACAGAAGACAGCCCCTGTTGTGGCAGGGTAGTGCCAGGACACTGTGGAGGTCCTTCCCACACAGGGTCAGCACAACCATCTGCAGTGGTCTCTGTAGCCCAGCGTCTCCAAGTACCAACTCAGGGGAGAAAAGGCAGTTGCACAGACTGCTTCTTGGCCCACTCTGCAGCCCTCTAGGACCCAGGCTCCCCAGGTGGGCCTAAAGCACCTGCCTGTCTCGGCTGCTCCACAGAATACAGGCCCACCTTTTCTGCCTCCTATGACTTCTGGAAATGAACCCGGAAGTAGGGGGAACCACTAGCCTGGAGAAGTCATTTGAGGCCTCACACATTAGAGGCCTCTCTTTCAGGGGGGGATTAGAAGGAGGCCAGCCTGAGATTTTCAACCTGCCTCTCTCTTCCTTCTGCAATGGCTTGCCACCATTACAAACATTGCCTCAGACTTTCCACGAGCAAAAGGGTTCCTGGCGTCCTTCAGTACCAGGCTGTGAAGGTCACTTCCTGTCAGAGACCGGGCAGAACTGGAATCCATTGGCATCTCCTCAGAGAGAATGCTGACTCTAAGGTAATCAGGAAAAAGGGCAAAAATGACCTTTACCCCATGGTCCTCTCCAGGTCCCACCTAGCTCCTGATGAGTCAAGTAGATTTTGTGGGGCAGGGGAGAACAAACAAACTCCATGATTTGGCCAGAGAGATTAAGGGCTGTTCTTTTCAGAGGTCAGTTCCCAGCACCCACATGGCTGATGGCTGTTCACAGTTGTCTGTATCCCCAGTTCCAGGGGGTCTGATGCCCTCTTTAGACATCCACAGGCATCTGCACGCACACACACACACACACACACACACACACACACGCGCGCGCGCGCGCGCGCGCGCACGCTCCTAACTTTATAAAACGTGATTTATTTGAAAAGACAACCCTGATTTACAGTCCTGACCACTCCTCCTTAGTGTAAATACTCCCGCGTTCCCAGCGTTTGAACAACTGACTCACAGACGAACACTGAACTAATAGCTTCTCGTAAACCGGGAAGGGAAAACTTGGGCACAGCCTTCCCAGTCTGTCAACGTGCCCAGCCTGAGCCTCACTTTCAGTTTCTCAGTCAGCAGTGATTGGCCTTTGCCCAGATTGCTGGGACTCAGTGGTACCACCGAGTGGTGCACGCTGCGGGGGGGGGGGGGGGGGGGGGGGGGTAATTGCCAAGGGACCGAATGCAGGGGGTGGTTTGTTGTTTTGTTTGTTTGTTTGTTTCTGTCTGCTGACGTGGAGCTCAACTTTGCCGGCTCCTCTTCTCAGGCCTGGGGAGGTTGGGGCATTCCCCATCTCCTGAAGCCTTTGATGCTCATGGGGCTATCTGAGGACACTCTCTCTTGAGCCAGGGCTATCTGAGGACACTCTCTCGCGCATTCCTTCCAGAGGCAGTGCTTTCTGAGGGTACCTCCCTTGCTTCCTCTTCAAGAGGCTGTGATCAGTAGCTGGAGCCACTAAGTCTCCCCCAGTCCAATTGGAAGGGTTTAAAATGGTGTCTGAGAACCACACAGATTGTGGGCCCTGACGTTCAATTTGGCTGGGTGCTGAGACGGACCCTTTCCTTTCCTCTTCTTTTCTTTTCGGCAGGGTCTCCTGTAGCACAGGTTGCCCTCAAGTTCTTTATATGTCCTTAAACCTCAAAACCTCCTCCCCCCACTTTCCACGTGCTGGGATTACAGGCCTTCATCGCCACACCCTGTTTTATGTGGTGCTGAGAAACTGAACCTTGTATACAGTAGGCAGGTTTCCTATACCCGAGTTACATCTTGAGCCCCTGAAGTGGACTTTTTTCTTTTAAAAACTGACTTTAGGAAAATTCTGCTTCTAACACCTAAAGCATCAGTTCACAAACTGTGGGTCCCAACTCCTTTGGGGTCATACAACCCTTTCACAGAGGTTGCCTAAGACCATGGGAAAACACAGATGTTTGCATTAAGATTCATAACAGTAGCAAAATTACAACTATGAAGTAGCCACAAAAATAATTTTATGGTGGGGCTCACCACAACATGAGGAACTGTATTACAGGGTCCCAGCACTCGGAAGGTGGAGAAGCACTGAACAACTCATGCTGATTATTTCCTGATCTCTAGGGTGGTTTGTGAGCAAGACAGGGCGGGGTTGGCTGTTCCTGTGAAGCTGAGTGTGACCCAATTTATCCACAGTGTTGACAGCTCTCTGATTTTTCCTTTCCCTTTGGGGCCTGAGGATGATGTAGGGCCCAGAAGAGGGCTGGAACCCACTTTTCCTTCCCCCACAGGGCAGTGAGTTGTTCTTTCAGATCTGAAATCACAGGGCATTTTCTGGTTTGTCACCCTCCTGGGCGTGCCCCTGGCTGGAGCCGGTTTTATAGACTGAATGGTACCCTGGGCACGGGAGTCCTCCTCAGGGGCCTGCCTGACAGCCCAGCCCATACTCTCCTCTGTCCTGGGTTTCCCAGGTCCCCACAGGTGTGCGGCCTGGGAGGAGCCGGCCTTGTCCGGTCAGTTCTGGGGAAGTTAGCTCAAGAGAAGAGTCTCCTCCGTGTACGTCCTTGAAACCGTCCTCCTCATGGTACCCTAGTCCCTCAAGGTCGGGCACTAAACAATCCTGAGGACCTAATAGGAACCACCAAGGGACACGAGCCATCTTAGGGCTTGCAGATTGGTTTTCAGGTAAGGGGTCCTTACGCAATGAATGGGGTCACAAGGCCCAAACTTCATTGATGAGAGAGCAATAGAGGAAGACACCTGACATCAACCTCCGGTGCATGTACACACACACACACAATAGAGGAAGACACCTGACATCAACCTCCGGTGCGCAGACAGAAATACACATGAACGTACACTCACACTATGTACACACATACACATACACTGGAGGCCCATATTTCTGTATGGTGTGGCAGCCAGGCGACAACGCCATAGGCCCCATCCGAGGAAGTCTCGTAGTTCTGCAGACAAGCTGTCTCTGCCTAACAAAGGTCAGGATGTCTGGTGCTCCTTCCTTTGTAATTTGGAGGCTATCTTATAGAGATGCCAATTCAGGCCTACGTGACAGCTAGCATACTTCAGCAGACAGGTAGATGCAGCCGTGACAAAAGGCCATTCACCTGGTTACCTAGGAGACAGCCTAATGTATTTTCCCACTCAATTTATGTGATGATATATAAGCTGTTTGGAGAATAAATGGGGGAGATGGTTAGGAGAAAGAACCCGGAGATGCCCTTCCATGATGATGGAGTAAGTTGCGTCTGATTATTCCTTGCGTCTCCGTTTCAGTCCAGTTAGGGAAAATAGTTATCTGTGTTGGAGCAACACGGGCTCTAACAATACACACACATACACAGACAGACAGACAGACAGACACACACACACACACATACACAGACAGACAGACAAACACACATACACAGACAGACAGACAGACACACACACACAGACAGACAGCACACACACACACACACATGCACACACCCCTCCACTTCCCCCAGCCCTTTCTTTGTCTATGCTCAGAAGCTTCTGCCCCAGGAGTGATCCCTCAGCCCAAAGCGTCCCCTGAGCTCCCACAGTGGTTCCCCTGACGAAAGTTCCTTTCTCAGAGAGGCACACTCAAGGTAAGATGAGGCCCCACATTCTCCTGCTTCCCCCAAATCAGGCTCATGTCTGAAATCCTGGTGATTGCATGTGGTCTCCTTTGGAGACAGGGTCTTCAGAGAGGTAATCAAGTTAGAATGTGTCATTACAGTCAGTGACTCACACCCTGATAGAACGGGGGAAATTTGGTGGCAGACACAGGGGACAACACCCATCTGTGACAATGGGGGCAAAGGTCAACTGGTCCATCCACAGCCAGGGAATGTTAAAGACAGCGAGCAGCCACCAACAGTGAAGGGGAACAGCATGGAGTCAATGTCCCTACAAGTCTTCAGAAAGACTCAGGGAGTCCCCTGACTGGCCTCGACCTTGGCCTCCTAGCCTCTGGAAGTGTGCACCACACATCTTGAAATGCCCCGAATGGAGCAAACCGACTCAGGGTCCCTCCAAGGGACAGAGGAAGGGTCTCCAGAGGCTTCCTCAGCTTCATTCTGAGGTCTGGAGGAACGCCAAGCAGCTCCCACTTCCTCCAGACAGAAAGTCAAAGAGGGCGTGGTTTACTTCAAGGCCTCTCAGGGAGGTGTCTCCCTGGGAATAGAGTGTCTCACTCTAGACAGCTGTAAACACCAGAAATCACAGAATAACCGTGCTTGCTGTATGCCAGAGACTTCTCAGAGCTTTGTGTTCCAGTCCTTCGGCAAGTATACCACATGGGGAAACTGAGGCAGAAGGAGGTTCACTAGCTTGCACGTGTGCTGATAGTACCCCCAGCTCCTTTTGTCTGCCAGTTTGTGCGCCACGCCACCTTCTGTGTCTGTCACAGGAGGCTGCCCCAAATGAGCAACTTCCAGACGTAGTACCAACTTCACAGGAAGAGACCCCTAACCTCGTCCCAGCCCATTCCTGGGACCCCATCCACAGTAGACCAGGAGTCTTCTGTTAGTTCTCTTCTTAGAAATCCCAGAATCCTCTCTCCAAACAGAGAAAGACCAAATCTTTCTCCAGTGACCTTTTCTACCCACTCCTGAAAGTCACATAAGACAAGGGTCTTTCCCCAGAAGCAGGGTGACGTTGATCAGCAAGGTCTGTCTGTGACTGATCCATTTATCTGTTTCATCTTGCTTTCCTTTCCTGGCCGAAACTGCCGTCTAGTTGGATAGGCAGAAAGGCCTGACCACAGCCTTTCTCTGTGGAATGATTCCTTTATGTGCATGAGAACATACATGAACATTTGTTGGGACTGAGGATATATATATACTCAGTTGGTATGGTGCTTGCCTAGCATGCAGGAGGCCCTGGGTTCAATGCCCAGGACAGTATAAATTAGATGCATGATTCACCCCTATAACCCCAGCAATCAGGAGAGAAAAGCAGGAAGATTAGAAGTTCAATATCATCCTTGGCTATATATGCATTTGATACTAGTCTGGGCTATATGAGACTCTGTTTGTTTGTTTGTATGTTACATCCCCTGCCTGAGTCCCCCTCCACCCCACTGACTTTGCTTACCTCTTGAGGAATTGGAAGGCAAGAGGTGGAAGAAGGAACTCACAGAACAAAATCAGGCCACAGGGCCAAGCCAGTTTCACAAACAGTCTAAGACAAAGCTGCCCTGAGGCAAGGTTGCAGGGGCAGAAGTGAAGACAGTGGCTCCAGGCCTTGGCCACCTCTTTTTTTACTGGTAGTATTTCCTTTTTACCATTCTTCTCCTGTCTTACCCAGGGTTACCCAGGGCTAAGCTATCTCTCAGAGGCTGACTCTGAGGCTTGGGAATTTACTCCAAGGGACCCAACTATGAGGTTGGTGTCTATAGCAATTCCTAAGGTCCACCCTGCTCTGTGATCCTCCCATGATGATCGGGAAGCCCGGAAGTGTGGACTAAATGGGCACAGAGACTGTTTCCTGGGAAAGGAAGTTGGTTGTGGCTTCATTTTTATTTATGTCAAAATAGTGTTCTCAGTTGATTTCAGTCTTAGCTACAAAGAAGATGATGAGCCAAATGGATTTGGTATTTATTGGTGGTCAGCTTCTGGAAGCTTGCTTACCGAGGCCTCCACTGTGCCTGGGGTATGAAGATTATACTCTTAAGCCTTGCTGTCTGGGGGATGAGAGTCTAACCTGGAGGCCAGTCTAATTTCATCGGGAGCCAGAGACACTGACGTTTCTCTAAACCCGTCCTAAGGCTTTGCTCAGGTTTTGTTGACAGGCCAAATGTCTCAAGAAAATGGGAGTTGATGGTGGCCATCCATATGGCCAGTCCTACAACCAAGACAGCCCTGGCTTGCAAGGTCTCTCCATCTCCCTCCTGGAAGGCCACAGCCACCCTCATGGTTGTTCTGTCTCCTCCACATCTGTTCTCAGCTTCACTCTCAAACTCGATTCCTCTGTTTCCGTTCTCTCCCAATCCCATCTTCATGTGATTGCCACCTGGCAGGGCTCTGACTACATCGAGGTATCCTCTCAGTTCTAACAGTCTCCCCAAGGTTATTCCTGCTTAACTGATGGTTGTCACCCCTAGGAGGGGCTCTGTTTAGCCCAGCTTCTAGCCTCTGTGAACCTTTCTTTTGGTTAACATGAGGTCATTTGTCCAACCTGGTAGTCCAGTCAGGTGGAGACAGTAGTGGATAGATGATGGATCATGGTTCCCCTAAAAGGCTATGGGCAAGCAGATACCTAAAACAGCTTTAGTAGGGGGTCACTGGTGATGGCCAGAGGTCGTAGAAGATGGCAATCACTCTGAGCTGGAAAAAGTGGGTTTCATGGGGCGGTGAGATGGCCAAGGGTTCCACCCCTGTCACTGGGGTCATAGGAGAGACAAGGACATGCAGGAATGGGTACCACGACAGGCTGTCTCAGTGTTTACAGGTTTTTGTTTCTCTTCCCCATGGAAACAGCTATATCCCCATCCCGATACCATCAGATTGGGGCGTCTGGAGCCTTGAGACATGAAGTATGACATATGTCGATTGTCGGCGATGCTTTGTCCGTCATTCCATCATACACCGTGTGGTCTTTTCACTGTCGTCAGGATAATACTGCCCAAAACAGGAACTGTTCCTTCAGCTTGGGGGTCCAGGATGAGAGCATCCAGGAACACAGCCAGTGCGTAAGGGAAACAGATAATAAATAATAAACACATATGCTGAGCCACGAGGCTGGGGTTATTTGTTGTTATGGGTTACTTGGTTATTTGTTACTACGGCAAAACCTAGCCTAGCCTAACTGGTATAAAGGTCAAGTTGTGGTTTCAGACTCTCAGATAAGGGAAGGGAAGAACGAAGGTGATGTGGAGAATGGAGGAGACATAGAGACCGGAATCCAAATATAGCAGAAGACACAGAGGCAAGAGAGGCTCCGGGAAGGGTTAGCTTTCAAGCGTCCATTTTATGTCCTGGGTTTCAGGAACAGGTCGTACATGATTTTGCTTGGGTTATTACCGAAAACAGTACGGACCAGGGGGCCTAAGCAGCAGACGTGTATTTTGCCGACAGTTTTGGAGGGGAGGCAGCAAAGAGCGAGGTGCCAGAGGAGCGCATTTGTTTTGCATCCTGTCCTCTGTCCCAATTGCATACAGCCATGTGAGATCTCAGTCTGACCTGTCTGCTCTTCCAGAGAGGACGTCATCATTGAGCAGGCCGACTTGCTCTAGGGCCGACCATCTCAGCGGAGTTGAGGTATGAAGATGAGAGTGGAGAAGGCGGTTCCAGAGGAGTCACAAGTGATGTATGATTCATGAGTCCTTTTCTCCTGAAAGAGAAGAGACTGCATGGGGCAGGGTGGGGAGGTGTTGATGTTAAAGGAGAAGCAGAGATTGGAGAGACAAGGGAGAAAGAGAATCTGCTACAACACTCATTGTTCTAAATTACCACAATAATGGCACGTATGTGAGTTGTATATAAAATATGTAGTATGCTGCATACTACATAATACAGTTTTTATTATATATATATATATATGCATATATATGGAGAGAGAAAGTTTGTTTTGTTTTGTTTTTTTGAGACAGGCTCTCTCTACACAGTCCTGGCTGTCCTGGAACTCACTATGTAGTCCAAGCTGGCCTGGAACTCACAGAGATCCTTTTGCCTCTGCCTTCCAAGTGCTGGGACTAACGGTATGGTCTACTGTCTACCATGCCCAGCTAGCAAAAAAATATTGTTTTAAGACTGACGTGAAAAATAAACCAATGTCGGAGGAAGATTGACAACCCCTCCAACCAAGGATGACATATACCAAAACATCACCCACAAAAAGGCCCGAGCACGCCAGAGAAAGTGGATCTATATAAGTGAGACTCTCATGGCTCAAGGCCCCTGAGCCACAGGCCTTTCCCAGTCCTCTGGGAGTGAGTCCTCTCACTTCCAAGAGAGAAAGAGAGAGTTTGTTTTATGTTGTAGTGATTAATACCATGACCAGAAGCACGTTGGGAAAGAGGTTTATTTCCGCTTCCGTCCTGAAGTGAAGTCAGAGCAGGAACTGCAGAGACCATGGAGGAATGCAGTTTACTGGCTTCCTCTCCCTGGACGTCCCAGCTATCTTTCTTTCTTTCTTTCTTTATTTTCTGCGACAAACGCAGCCTCTCTATGTAGTCCTGGCTGTCCTGGAACTCATCTGTAGAGCAGGCTGACCCTGAACTCACAGAGACCCACTCATCTCTGCCTCCCGAGAGCTGGAATTAAAGACGAGCACCACATACCTGGCCTTCAGTTACCTTTCAGTGCTGTCCCCAGTGAGCTGGGCCCTCCCACATGAATCATTATTGAAGAGAATGCCTCGTGGAGTTCTCTGCAGGACAACCGATGGAGTCATTTTCTATGTTGAGGCTCCCTCTTCTCAGATGACTCCAGCTTTTGTCAAGTTGACAAAAGCTAACACACATAGGCACAAAATTGAATAAATAGATTTAAAAAAAAAAGATTAGGGCCAGAGAGATGTCTCTGTGGGTCAAGCGCTTGCTTCCCAAGTGTGGAACCTGAGTTCAATCCCTGAGTCAAAAGCCAGGTGCAGCAGTGGACACCTGCAAACCTAGCATGGCCACCGTGCAATGACAGCGGAGGAACCAGGAGAATACGCTAGAGAGGAGAGGAAGGACAGGCTGGGGTCCTAGGTGGTGCTTGACCCATGGCATGGGATTCATCAACTGTCTCTGAGTTATTCAGCTTTTGGTTTTTCAAGACAGGGTTTCTCTGTGTAGCTTTGGAGCCTGTCCTGGTCCTTGCTCTGTAGACCAGGCTGGTCTCGAACTCACAGAGATCCACCTGTCTCTGCCTCCCAGGTGCTGGGATTAAAGGCGTGTGCAATCACCGCCCGGTGATTTGTTCAGCTTTTAATGGGGTGTCAAGTTGAATTAAATGCAAACCAGAAACATTTTCAGTGTTCAGACCTCATCCACAGGCAGCCTGTAACTAGCTAGAGTCCTGCCTCCAGACTTACAAGGTAGGTATTTTCTCGACTGTGAGGCAATTACTCAGAGGAGTCAATGTGCTTGCCTGAGGTCGGTACTGGGAAGAACTGAGGCGAACACATCACATTTCCTGACTCCTACCTAATTCCAAGCAGGAAATCATGTGAAGTGGTCATCTCCTCTGCCCTCCCGCCCCTCCCCGCAGAGGAGAGAGAGAAAGAGAGAGAGAGAGAGAGAGAGAGAGAGAGAGAGAGAGAGAGAGAAGTGTGTTTGGTAAAAGTTTGGCTACTGCCCTGGGATGCTTTCCTAAAACAAGACTGTTTTTAATTAATATTGAGAGGAAAGTGTGACCCTGGCACTGAGAAAGACTAGCATTGGTGTTGAGGAAGGAACGGAACAAGAATGTATTTGCATTTTCTCTTACTTGGAAAGGTCGCCAAGAAACTAACACCCCACCCCCCACCTTCCTGGACCAGTTTTCCCAGAGGTCCTGAAAGAGTGCATCTGGATGTTCCCCCTGGTGAGGCCCTCAGGCAGTCGCAGCGTGCATGGGTGTCCCGTGCCCCTTGAGAAGCACAATCGCACCCATTGTTCCTATTTGCAGAATCTGGCTTCTGCCTCCAGTGTCTTCATTTTCTTCTACATCTTTGTTTCCTTTGGGACACACACACACTCACGAACAGCTGGAGGGATGAGGTGGTTGGCTCACAGACAACAGACTCTGACAGAGCCGCCATCCTCCCCAGCTGCACCCAATTAACTTGGCATGGTTTTGCGCACGCCGAAGTCATGCACTGCCGAGGGATGCTTCCCCACTCCTGCCGCTTGTTCTTGACCTCCGAGACCAGGCAGCCCCACCTTCCTGTTTTGTTTGTTCCCTGTTCTCCTAAGAGGAAGGAAAGAGTTGTATTCTTGGGTCTTTGCAACAAGAAGCTCCCTAGAGGTTCTGAATCTGCACTTCAAAGGGAAGGCAGAAAGCCTTAACCTAGTTCAGCTGTGCTAGGTGCTCGGGCTCTATTTCTAGTTAGAGGTTTTATACCTTCTAGCTCGAAACTTCTAGCTCGGTGCATGCGCATGAATATCACGGAGGCCTGCACTCACGGGGCCTGCCATCCTGGACCCACCTATGAGCAAGTCTTTCAGAAAAACCAAGTGGGACTTGCTGAAAACACACTCTCCCAGGATGCTGTTCGCTCTTTTCAAAGACCTTCCTGTCTTGGAAATGTTTGCACGGCAGACAGGGTTCGACCCACAAGAAGCATACTGAGTGCTGGCTCTGCCCTTATTCCAAAAACCATCACCAGGAGTTCCCGTCCCAACGGGGAAGCCAGAGTCCTGAGAGGTCATCCCGTTTCCTGAAGGCTGGGGACAACCGGAGGAGCTCCATTTCTGCCGCCCTGTGGGGCCCACACATCGCATAGCTCGTCTGGTTAACATTGGCGCTGAAGACGCTCTCACAGATGTGCTGACGAGCAAGCAGATGTTCACAGCCCACAGCAGCTCTCTTCCCACGACCTGGAAGTTCCCTCAGTCCTGTGCATCAGCCCCCAGGCCTCAGAGAACTTCCTTTGTGCTGTTGGCCACAGTTTCATCCCCCAGAGCAGGACAGGGCAAGGCCTTCTTTGGAGGCCTCTGGTGAAAACACCTATTCACACACCCCCCCCCCCCCTTTTTCCTAAGAAAACTGCAAAGCCAAGAAAAGAAATGCTTGTTTCTTTTGATCATAGTATGGCGAATGACTTTAAACTCATCAGCTTGAAACAATTATCATCGCTTCACGGTTCCACAGGTTAGAAACCTGGAGTGACTCCTCCGGTGGCCCTGCTATAGTCTCAGCTCAACTGTTTATGGGACTGAAGTGAGCCCAAGTGTGTGTTGTGGGGGCAGGATCTGCCTGCAAACTACCAGGCACGTGGTAGCTTCATGGCTTCGCTCCTTCCTGGCTGTTGCTCATGGACACCAATTCCTCACTACCAGAGCTCCTTACTCTCCGCCTGGCCATCTTCAGGATGTGGGGGCTAAGTTCTCCCAGAATGAGTGAGCCAAGAGACACACAGAGCCCAAGACAAGGGCTACACACGGTCCTCTCTACCCGCCTGCACCTCAGAAGTGACATCTCATCAGGAATCTGGACTGTGTTGTGTCACAGGGAAGCCTGCAGGGTGTGTCTGGCCTTGAATTCCCTCATTTTGTGAAGCAGTGGCCAGTTCAAGTGTAAGGGCTGAAGGAGAATGATTCTGCTTCTTATTTATGCACGTAAACAAACCACCATCTGTCAACACACCAGAAAGCACAAACCAATAAATAATTTATCTGTGCCGATAAATAATTACACTTGTGACTATATCTATCAATCATGTCAGAAATATCAGATACATGCGTATCTCTATCACACCAGAGTCTGGGGAGCCCATCATACCTTTCACATGGGCGCTCAGGATTTGAACTCAAGTCTTCATGCTTGCTTTGGGAATGTTCTTACCCAGTGAGCCAACTTCCTAGCCCCACAGACTATGTAATTAATAAAGGAAAAAAAAATGTGTTTCCCAATTCTGAAGGCTGCAAATTCCAAGAGAATGATGCTAACTTTTGGGAAGGACCTCGTGTGACATCATAACAAGGTGGGAGGGCAAGCATGTGAGCTCAGTTTCTCCTTCTCTTGATAAAGCCACTGATCCCATCGTGGAGACCC